TGACAATGGTTAACAACCCCACTACATGTCAACACTGTCCTTACTCAACCTTGGTTCCCTATCACTAGCTTTCCTGTCCCTTTCTGCCAGGTCAGGTCTGGCAACTCCTCGCTGCTGCTGAACCATCTCTCCCTCCGCCTGCCACTCAGTCTGATTCCTCAACTTTGCCTTTGATGTTCAGGGCTCCTAGATTATCATATATAATTGATTCACTTGTTTGTTCAGGTCTTTGTTGTAAGAGGGACCACAGGAAGCATCTGACTGCTCCGCCATCTTGGCCCTGCCTCTCACGTTGAAGAAATGAAAGGCAGTCAGTTTTCATCTACCCTAAATGTAACATTTACTTTTGATTTCACCTTTCTACCCAGAAACTTTGTACAAAGCAAAAAAGTAATTTCAATTTCTGTCTCCAAACCCAGAACCATTTTAGCTTTTAAAACCCCCAAAATTTCTTCCTAGACTGTAAGCTCGATGAGCGCGAGCACCTTACCTTTTATTTTCTCTTGTAAACTTTATATGCAGCTTATGGTGATTGTTCAATACAGATTAAATGAGAATGTGATTGTTTTATGGGTAAAAGGGTTTAATATTTTTATAAGCTGAACTATTTTTCTTAATCACGTACCCATATCTGGTTGTCTACTAACTCTGGGTATTGTTCTTCTGTGCAGATGAAGAGGAAATGGAAGATGGGACAGAAGAATGTAAAGAATCTTAATTAAGCAAAGACTCGCTGGGGGTACTTTTTAGACAGTTGGTCAATTGTATTGTTACCTTTTTTTCCTGAATTCTTTGAATTCAATGACTGCACCGTAGAGACCATTCCCTGAATAGTGATTTTGTCATTTGGATTCTCTCTTGGTGAATTGTATTTCCCTGATCTTTTTGAGATTTGTCATGTAATTCCTCAGTGGTTTTCCTTCATTGAAATTCTTGGAAAATTTTTTTTATTGCTAATCTTAGAGTATCGGGGGTACATTATAGATACATTTAATGCACGAGTGCTATGTTAAAACTAGCTGAAGTGCTGTGATTGTTTTGTACTTGATTTTATATGTTAGGCCGGTAGAAAACACAGAAACACGGACCCAGTAAGTATAAATATAAATTTCCATATGGTTTATTGTTGTTCCTTGTACATAAGGAACAGTAATACACAGCTTACACTGCTGTAGAATGTAAAATGGGTAAAATGGACAAAACAAGCACATTCCTAGAAAAAAGTATTGGCAATCGTAAAAACCTGGGGTGGGGGGAAGCGAAAAACAAAAACGAAACAGAACAAAACCAAAAAAAAAGGAGAAAAACCAACAATTCTTCAGTTCAGTGTGCAAACATTTTATAAAAATAGAAATACTAACTCTACAGGCAGTATTTCCTGATAAATTATTTAAATAGCATATCTACACAATCTGAGATACCTATTCCAATGGCAATGAGAAAATAATTTATAAAAATAAAGCAATGGTATACAAGATGATAGGAAAAAAAAAAGTAACGTTCAGAAATTGTATTTAACATTTCAATGCTACTTCCTTGTTGGGAATACTCTTCTGCAAAGAATTTTTATACTATATACAGCATTGACTTTTTTTAGGTACTACAGTAGCTTTAAGTTTGTTAGACATTTAAACTCTTTCTGTTTGATCCAAAAATAGTTTTCTCAGTCACACAACAAATGAGGTAATATTTGTAGATAAGTTTCACCTTTGTCATTTTTTTCTCTTTTGGAAAAATGAAAAATAAAAAGTATATATGCTTTTCTTCTCCCTGGAAATAGGCACATGGGGTGGGAATAAAACAGTATGTAAAGGCCTCATGACTTTCTCTGCAATCTAAAAATACTTGCACATGTATAACCAACGAATTCCACTTGATAAGACAAAGCAAAGCAAACAAAAAACAAAAAGAATCCCAAATCATTCACTCTAAGCACAAAGCGAAGGCAGCTGTTGCTGCTTTTCCTTGTGCCACTCTGAGATCTGCTGGTGCATCTCCACTACCTGACCTCAAACACTTTCCATACGATCCCGAAATTCCAGGTAGAACAGAGTTAATAAATAATCTCTATTTACAATCTTACAGTCATGAAGACTTGTAACAAAGATGATATGGATAGTCCTTACGTTTCTTCCTGCTCCATGAATAGTCCTTCAGTCAGATCCTCCAGAATAGGTAAAAAATAAATATTTTACATTGTAAAGGCTTTGTAAAGAAAAAAAAAAAAAAAAAAACTACAGTCCAAAAGAGAGAATTGGAGAACTCCATGATATTCAGGAAAAAAAACAGAGAAGAGGAATGTTTTAGTTAAGTTGATAATAATTTTGTGCCTTTCTAACCATAAAAATATAAGCACGGCTGCCCATTCCTTGGGAGGCAGGCTTGTGCTCACTGAGATGGTTGGTTTTCCCATTTTCCTGCTACATCTGCACAAGCTACATCTAGAATGAAGCCAACAATCTCCATGTAACCGGACAATGGCAGCCAGCACTGCCTTAAACGCTGGGTGCCTTCTGACTCACTATTCTGGCCCCTGCTCCAGGTGATATGTCAGGAGCAGGGTCCAGGGGAGGAAGTCCAGAAGCCAAGCTTTTCCTCCCTTCCCTGCGTCTATTTAAGTGCCTCTTTATGTGGGTTAGTCAGCTAACGCCGGTCAGCATCATGAAATCCAACAATAGTTTTTCAATCCCCTGAAAATGATTAGTACCGAACATGTAACAGTTCATCTTTTCTTCATACAGTTATCTCCGGGGTACACAGCTCCCCCTTAGTGCTTTGGCCCTACTACCCCCCCATTCCCAAGGGAGTACATCAGGGGGGTTTATTTGCTAATTCCAACGAGTCCTCCCTTCTCTCACAAGCCTGGAGAGCTGCCGAGTCCACTGCTCAGAGAGGGCCTCGCAGGAGCACCCTGCTGCTCTGTGACGAAAGCAGAGTGGAGCAGGTGTCTTCCCAGCTGAAGCAAGGAGGTGCCTGTGCTGTTTCAAAAGCAAGCCACAAGTCATTGTTTATATTCTTGAAAGATGTCTTCTCATTCGTTGGAGGAAGAATGCTGAGTCTGTTTTTGAAAACTGCATTTTCTCGCAGGTCATCTGTCCTAGGAGTCCACACTGATGCAAGCAGAGAAACAAGGAAGAAGGGAGGAGAGATCCTGGGGTTTGCTCGAGCCCATGGTTCCAGAAGGTACAATGCCAGCAATGGTTACCATCAGTCTTCTGATCAACACTTTGATGATTAGGAATCTGTTAAATAAATACACATAATCCACACATAAATAAATTCAAATACACACTCATTCTTAAAGGCATCGCCTTCATAATATCAACTAATAACAACCTACGTGTATCTCTACTTTCGTAATGGCAAAAGCGTCATTTAAGACTTAATTTTATTCGCTGACATTGATGCCAGCAAAGTGACACACAACGCAGTCTTCCAGAACTTACACTGTGCTTTGTAAGGCCTTCAATGTTGAAAGTTTAGGGAGCTTTATTTTAAAAAATCAGACTCAAAGATGACATCATAATTGAAATATTTTTTGAGTAAAATCAACCATCTTTCTTGACTCTGATGGATTTTACAGGCATCATGCTAAGGCCCAGTAAACATTTATTAAGTAGTTACTTTGTGGTAGGTCCAATGCTGGACTCGAGAGCTCAAGTAATCATTGCGTGAAAGACACTGGAGGCGTAAAGCTAAGGTTAATGGTGAAAATTAACACGCCAGTGTGAAGGCAGTACTGCCTTCCCCTCGTGGTACACCAGTAAACCTGGTTAAAGACAACCTGTGCTGTAGTGACGTGAAGAAAATTGTAAGTAGTGTTTAAGATACAAACACGTACAATTTAAAGTCAAGGGTCGTTCATGTGGTCTCCGTTGTACAGGAGCCTACCTTTGCACTGTATGAAAAGCAGAGATTGCTAAGCAAATTAATACTGTTAATGACTCAGAATTTCACAAGCTACACTTTATAGGAATTGTCTCATTTTTTTATCCTTGTGTGCTCAAAAGCAAAATAGAAATAATGCTGTCTCTAAAATAGTCTTTAAATCAGACTCCCGTCATTGGCACTCCAGACATTATTTGAATCACTGGACAGTAACTGAGAATATTGCACCTACCCCTGCACTCGTATTTCAGGTCCGAGAAGAACACCATTTCTTGAGAGAAGACGAACAACCCTAGCCTGCCTCCAGCATAGGTCTTGTCATAGATGGGTCCCGAGTCAGCCATGATTTTCTTCCCTTCATACATCACCACTCTACAGGAAAAAAAGGTCTCGTTAGTGACACCCCTGCTTTTTGGTCTCCTCCTCCTTACCCATCAGCATGAGTGTAAGTGAAATTCAACGAGTGCAATCTTACCTAATGAAGCCTGTCTTTGGCCTGTGGCTGAGACGCCATCTGTAGGCGGTGAAATCTTTCCAGCCTATGTGACGAGGGTCATGCCACAGGGTTCGCACCTGAGGGAAAAGGAAATGTTGAAACAGAGCTCCATCGTGGGAAGATTTCCATTTCGTTCCATAACAAATGGTGCCCGAAAGACACCAAGTTGACCCAAATTAGGGGGTTGCAATGTAGGATTTTTTCTAAAACTGCGTTCATTTGGCGTGCCCTTAAATGTACACACAAGGCAGAAAGAGAGAAGGGAAAGGAGGTGTTTTGTTTCAAGAGGCTAACGCTGCCTTTGGACCTGAAGGGGAGCTCTTGGACACAGTCAGCTCCCGTCTCAGACGCTGCTGTTTGCACAAAGCAGAGCTTAGTGCTGCAACTGGCGATGCTGGAACCTTTATATCTAAGACTCCCTGTTGGCAGTCTTAGCCAAAGCATGGCGTCCCCAGGGCAAAATAAGTACCCCTTGTCCCTCCCCCTCCTCTAGGGCACAGCCTCTTACCTGGCCAGGGGTGTTTCCTGTATGCCACAGAGCATTCCGCAGGTGCTCGCCAGGCCCCGTGGTGGAGTTCACAACTTTCACAGAAAGGCCTGAGTACCCCTGAGCCCTTGTGGGGTTGGTGTCCCAGTAGGACTGGGTGACCTGCTTCCACATCACAACATAGAAGCGGCTGCTGGACTGGTAGCCAAACACAAATCCGGCATAGTCATCGTCCCTCTCGGTGTTGATGAAGAATGTGCCGCTGAAGTCCACAGCATTAAACTCATCAAAACCTGGAAGATGAGAGTAGACCCCAGGTTAAAACCTACCGCTTTCAGAAGGTTCTCTTACATTCCCAGACATCCTTAGTCCCCACAAGGACTATGCTAAAGACACACACAACTGCCAGGTTTCCCGTTTGCTTCTTTCCCACATACATACGCATTAGCTTTTTGTTCTAAGAACCCACTACTCACCGATAGCAAGCCCAGGATCACAGTTGACAGTCTGGACAAGCTCTTTACCCTGATGGCGTACAACCCAGTTAGGATCATTTTGGGATGTTCCTTTGGGATCTAGAGGAATCATCTGGAATCGGCGGAAATCGGTTTCACTGATATCAACATTCTCAGGACAGATGTCATCGATGTCTGGCACATTGTCCTGGTCAAAATCATCCTTGCAAGCATCACCTCGACCATCACCTAAGGTCAAAAAGGTAAGAGTTCTGTGAAATTCTGAAATGCTATTATTACTGGGATCAGAAATGCACTATCTTGTCAAAGTTGCCATTTAGTCTCATCTCAGATGCATTCAACTTCATTTTTATTTCCCGAATCTAGAAAGC